TCTTCCCCGCGAAGCGCACGAGTGGGGGTATCAAAGGTTAGGTGAGGTTGGGTTATGAGGCAACGTGTTAGACCCCCAAATCGCCCTTACGCCATCGCTAAGGGCAGCCCTGCGACCGGGCGACCCTTTCTCGAAGGCCCCACGCGAGTGCCGCATGGTGCGGTGTGGCGGGAAGTGATGGCGAGGAAAAGCGAGGCAGGAGGAGGAGGCGGAGGCGAACCGCAATGGAGGACACCGAAGGAGGCCGGAGGGGGTCGCGATTGGTGGAGAGAGGGAGAGAGGGGGGGGGGGCGAAAGGCGGCCCGTTTGCGTCCTGTGTGCTTTTATACAGTTAGTGTTTTCACGGCAGAACGCCTCTCCGGTGACGACGGTGACGTGCACGGCTGCCCTGCCTTGCCGCCTGGCGCGCTCCCCGCCCGCTTTTAGCTTCCAGTGTCGTCGCACCCCCCACTTCCCCCACTTACGCGCACACATCCCCGGCGAGCAGGGCGGCAGGGCCGGCAGGGGCTGCAGCAGCTTCCGGTGATTATAAACCGAGTTGGAATGGAAGGAAAGGAACCGGGGGCGGGCGCCAACTTTTGCGTGTAGCGCCTCGTGTGCTCTGCGCTGTGCGCTGTGACGCGATGTGCACGCCCCTACATCGTGGCTGTGCTGCAGACTGAGAGTCGTTTGCGCCGCTCTGTCTCTCTCGCAGCTATAGGGGTCGCTCCATGAGTGCGAGAGAGACAGAGCAATGAAAACGTAAAACCTATGTCGGAGTGAGTCTGCTGTGCACTGACTGTGACCATGCTGTGACTCTTGGAGGAGGGAAAAGGCGGAGCTGGTGGAATGCCGCTGGCGAATGAAGGCCGTCGCTGTTTCATAATTGGATTGCCGACGAAAACGTTGCCCGTCTATATTTCCACTTTTTGAAAGCTTTTCCCAAGTATAATTCCATTTCCCGTGACATCATCGTGCCGCTCTCTTGGTGACGACGTATTTCTGCAGCCGACTTTTCTCCTCGCTGAGACATCGCGGCCGCGCAGTTTGACGACGACGACGCGCTCACGTCGTGCCTTATTAAGCTCGGAATTTCACTGCGAGAAGAACGAGCCAGCTGCTCTTTGCGATTGTAGGATGAGTCTCGGGCGTGTTTGGGAACCTGCCTGCCCACTCCCACCGGCAGAACCCCGTACTCCTTTCGCCGTTTTCCGGACGGGCCTGACCTTCGGCCCGGCAACGCGCGGCAACGCGCGGCAACGCGTGCGCCAAACGGCCCAAACCGAACCGACCAATGGCGGCTGGCCGGGTACCCTCCTTGACCACCAGCGGGATTTAGTTTGCCTCGCTTCCCGCCCCATCTGGCGATCACCGGGCCGCTGCCTCGCCCTCCAGGCCCATTTCGTCGCTCCGTCCCTCTCGCATTCGTGGGGCGTCCCGCACGGGTGCGAGAGAGACAGCGACGGCGCATGTTCGGAATGGGGCGAGTCCCCGAACGCGGCAGCGCGGAGGGAAGGGGGAAGGGGGAAGGGCGGCGCAAAGTCGGCCAAGTTGGCGAGGGGACCGACAGCAACACCATCAAGCCAGCAATAATCGAATCAGAACACTGAACGAGGATAAAGTGACACCTTCCCCAGAGATGTCGTCACCGCCCCGCCCCGCCCCGCCCGCCTTGGGGGCTGTGGTGTGGCGGACTTTTCTCGAGGGACGGGTCACTTATATAATAATAACTACAGCTCGGCGCGGGCGGCTGGGTGGCCGGGGGGAGGGGGTGCCGCGGGCGTGGGCGTGGCGTGGTGGCGGCGTGCGGCGTGGGCGTCACCGTAGGGGTCGTTTCAAGTTAGCGACCGGCCGAGCACCCCGAGCACCCCGTCGCCGCCACCACGGCACACCACGGCACCACGGCCAGGCCCACACCGCGGGGGTGACACCCAACACTGCAGACGCAAAGTGGCCAAGTGGTCGGTGCGGGTGCGGCAGGGCGCGGCAGAGCGCGGCAGGGCGCGGCGGGGCGCGGCTGGCGCGGCGGGTCAGACCACCGTCAGGACGTCAGGTCCCCGTCAGGTCGCGGCTCGGGGCGTCGCCAACAGACTGCGCCGACAACAGACATGGACAACAGTCGGGCTGGCGCAGTGGGCGGGGGCCGCGGGGCCGAAATTGAGCCGCATATGAATAGCGGCACGGCGACCTGTTCGACACAATGCAGTCTCGCGACACGTCCGACGCGGTGCGGCGCGGCGGCGCGGCGTCGAGGATACCTCAGCCGTCAAGGGGAGGGGTGGAGTCTGGACGTGCCTGGGGTCGCAAGCGGTCGCAAGGGGCTGCAGGCCGGACTGCCCCGTCGGCCAGGCAGTCGGGCCTGGCGGGCCCCAGTCGGGCCTGCAGGGGATCGGCGTCCGACGTACGGACTCTCGACAGTGAAACCCGCTTGTTTTCGCTAGTTTAGCTCACGGCCTCACGGCGCACCAGCCGCACACGCGGCAACACACGACCGCCCCTCCCCGCTCCCCGCCGGCCGACCCGGCCCGGCCACTCACCCCCTGCAATCATTGCCCGCCCTGCCCGCCTCGCAACAGATTCGCCCTGTATTTTGCCTGAGCGTGGAGCTGGCGAAGCCGGATCGGCTACTCTGCGTCGCTCTGTCTCCGTCGCACTCTGGGGGCACTCCTCACGGGCGCGAGAGAGACAGCGCGAAGAACTGCTCTTCTGACAATCACACGGTTGAGCAAGGCTGGCCCGAGGGGGAAATCACTCTTAAAAACTGTGACCCGACTACTCCCTATTACGTTCTATTACGCTATTACAGAAGGCTTATTACGCTCAAAAATATCCAGATTTAGGCTAAAATCGGATCCTAAATAGGGGAAATTTTAAGAAATTTGGCTATTACGCTATTACTATTACGCGTAATACTAGGAATCGGTGACCCGACTATTACGCGAGTGATTTCCCCCTCGGGCTGGCCTAAGAAGAACAGCCCGGTCGGTTATGCCTGTCGCTAGACACTCCGTTAGAACTGTTTTGGAGCCATCGTGTGGACGGTGTGGATGAGCGACACCAGCGCCGCGGCAGCCGAGCGAAATGTGGCGACTGCGGGAATCATTCCGACTCGACGGCGCGAAAATACACCGCATTACGGTGTAGGGGAGCGGAACGGAGCGGAACGCCGGAACGCGCGTCCCAACAGTCTCCGCCTCATAATCAACAGAGACAACCGGGCCTCATCAGGGAAGCGAAGCTACAGCCACGGCGTCGCTGGTGAAACACCCTCCCGCCCCCCTTTTCCATCCCCCTCCCGCACAGCCCTGGGCCCACCACCAGTTTACCCGCTTGCGATGTTTCCAGCCTCCTTTGCTACCACCCCGCATCAACCAACAGTCGAAAGCCTGAAACGCCGCCACTCCCTCTGAATACAGAGCAGGCAGTGCTATGCCATGGCTATGCCAGTAGCACGCCGGCGAGGCGACTCGGCGCGGCAGTGCTGGCACGCCTCGGGCCCCGGGGCGGGGCGGGGCGGGGCCGGAGTGGCGGCTGGATGGGGTAGGTGGCGGAGGGCGGTGGTGGCGTTCCGGGGGCAGAAACTGGGCGAGGCGGGGCGGGGCGGGGCGAGGCGACGGGCTGCTTTCTGCTCGCCTCGGCAGCTAGCTACACTCGCCGCAAAACGCCCTGCCCTTCCACTACTGCCTGGACCCGAACCATGAACCCAGTAGTTGCCGCGGTCGAGTGATGGATGGCTTTCCCTGTCTCCTTCCTCCCGATGCTCAATACGGGCCACCATTCTGCAATATATTTTTGACCGAAAATCGTTCGAAGGCGAGCTTTCAGTTTCTCCTTTTGTCGCTCAGTGTCATCGGTGATGGTTGAGCGTGCTCCTTTCGCATCCAACCTATCACTGTGAAAACGGAAAACGGAAAATGGGCCCCGCTTCTATCCCTCCCGTTCCCTGTGTGCCCTTTGGGCGCCAACTGTGCGGTGGGAGCGGAGAGTGAAGGGACGGGGTGCCTCGCGCCCCGCCCCGCCGCGCCCCGCCCCGGCCTCCCCCTGCCCCGCCGCTTCGCCACACCCCGGGCGAGCTTCCAAAGTTCGGCACCGCACGTTCTGTGGGTCTATCGGCCCGTTTACTTCCAACAGAAACAAACTGCGAGGCGAGTCAAGTGCGGCATTAGTAACTTGGAGATAAGAGGGGAAACTTGCCTGCCGCCTTTCCTTTCCCCTCTATTTTCTAACCCCGTTGTGTTGGCTGACTGCTCTCTCCGCGTTCACTGCGTTCACTGCGTTCACCGGACTCTCTAGCGGGCCGTGAATATCATTAGAATCGAATCCTGTGACGCGTGACGACCGTGACGGCCGTGACGGCCGTGACGACGCCGACCGCGCCGAAAGGTTGACCCAGTCTAAGTGGCGGCGGGCGCGGCCGGGGCGCCAGGCCGCCGGCAGCACTGCAGTAGTGCGCCGCAGACCGCGGTGTTGTTGAACTAGAGAGATTAGCGGGACGGAGACGGAATGGGGGCACGCACTTTTAGAGTGCCACAGTGCCACGGAACGGCGGCACCATGGTGGCACGCGCGCCGCACGCACGTGACTTCCAATCTCGAGAGGGGCAGCCGGGCCAACGAGCCACAGCGCGCACGGCGGAAGCGCGGTGAAAAACCGTGGGCAAATGAGATTGGTCATTGGTAATAAGGCCCGCGTCGCCATGCTTGTCGTCACTGCTCCGCGCGAGGGTGAATCTGGGTGAATCTTCAAGCACCTCAAGGCTGGCTGCCGCGCGCTGCCCTCGTCGCTGCCCTCGGCGCTGCCGGTCGGGGCGAGGACCTGCGGCAAGCGGCACGCACGCGGGGCACGCGAGACGAGGTCAATGGAGGGAAGCAAAATCTGTGCCGTCCGTAAGAGGTTCCTATCAGTGACTCGGTGATAAGGAATGTCTGACCGTGGCCTGGCGTGGCTCGGCGTGGCGGCAGCGTGCATAAAAAGGCACCCCGTCCCGCCGACGGCATCCTGCTTCTCCTCGGCCGCACCGCAGCACCGCAGCCAGCAGCGCTGCACGAGGTGACGCCCTCCTCCGAGTGCTCCGAGATCTGCCTCTGCTGCAACCGGCGACGGGTGCGCGACGCGGGAAGAACCGGGAAGAACGCAACATGCTTCGCCTTCTGTGCGTCCTGGCGGCGGCGCTCGCCCTCGCTTCTGGTCAGTGCCGCGACTGCCGCGCCTACCGCGCCGTGCGCGATGTGACGTAGGGCGTGTTTCGCGGAGGCTTGCGTTGCAACGCAAGCGGCGTTCCATTGTTGCGATTTGAATGGGGCGTTCGTGTTCGGTTGGCCAACGTCGCCGTGCTCCTTCTGTCCGCAGGCAGGGCGGCGGTGCGGCGCCCCATCAGCGGCATCGGCCGCATCGTCGGCGGCGAGACGGCGGACATTCGGGAGTTCCCCTACCAGGTCAGCCAACCTCGACAGTGTTCCCAGTGTGGTGAGCCGAGGACCAAGTCTATGATCCCGTTGGTCTGTGCCCGCAGCTGAGCTTCCGGAACTACGGTAGCCACTTCTGCGGGGCCTCCATCATCAGCCAGTCCTTCGCGCTGACGGCCGGCCACTGTGCCGAGGCAGGGTAAGTACGAAAATTGGGAAAGAACGCGGTGGCGGTCGTCCTGGTCGTCCGCCTCTCTCTGTACGCGCTGTACGCCCTTCTGCGCAGCGTGACCCCCAAGTCGGGGGCCATCTCGGCGGGCTCGGCGTCGCTTTCCACGGGCGAGTCGTACAACATCGTGCGCATCACGTCCCACCCGCGCTACGACGCCATGACCATCGACTTCGACGCCGGCGTCGTGGAGATCGAGGGCGTCTTCCGGCTGGGCGACACGCAGCGCATCGTGCCGCTGCCCCCCGCCAACCAGCTGGAGCCCGACGGCAACCTGGTGACCGCGTCCGGCTGGGGGGTGTCCAAGGTGAGGGCTGCAAGGAGGAGCCTGCTGGGCGCGCCGGCGCGCCTGGCGTAGCCTGGCGGTGAGGCGGCTTGAGGCTCACGGCTGGTGGCTGGTTCTTGCCGCAGGAGAACGACTTCGACCTGGAGCAGGACCTGCAGGCCGTGCGGCTGCACGTGGTGAGCCAGGAGGCGTGCGGCGACGCGTACGGCGACTACGGCGGCATCTCGGCGCGCATGTTGTGCGCCAGCGACGTGGGCAAGGACTCGTGCCAGGGCGACTCCGGCGGCCCGCTCGTCAGCACGGCCGGCAAGCAGATCGGCATCGTGTCCTGGGGGCTGGGCTGCGCGCGCAAGGGCTTCCCCGGCGTCTACACCCGCGTCGCCGACAAGGACGTACGCTCCTTCATCACCGCCGTCGCTGGAGTTTGACCTGTTCAGTTCAACTTGCAGCCCCATCCCTCGCTCACCTCATCCTCCCTCATGGCATTTGCTGTCGTTCATGGTTTACGTTTTCACGATCGTCACACTTTTTTTTGCGTTGGCTTGTCAGCCTGGTTTGCTGGTTAGGTTTGTTACCCTGTAAATATGAGAGTAAATATAGTTTTGTACAATAAAGACTAACACCCATTTTTCGGTGTCGTTCTTCACGTCGTCGGTAAGCGATTGCCGCAGTTTTCAAACTTGGCGCCACAGTGTAGTCCAAGCTTCCCGTACACGCCGCGAGAGCGCCACCGTCCATAGCAACCGCGCTTGTCGTCTGCTCCCGAAACAAAAACATCAGCACGGAGTATTTGCGAAAGTTGGACATATTCAAGTCGCATCAACCATGTCCGAGACATTTTCCAAAACGGGTCTGTTCTTTGACGAGCTCAATAAGATTCGGGTCCTTGAGCCAGACGTTTCGTCTCAAACAGAAGAGCTTCAAACAGAATGCAAGGACTTTGTTGAAAGTATTAATTTTATTTTCTATCCACTCAGTGACTTTTCTAGATAGTATGCAATAGGAAACTGACAAAATTAATGTTCCTACTTACAGAGATTTCAGATTTTCAAAAAATTGCGGACAGTTTCTTAGCAATGGTTGATTCGTTATCAGTAGAAGTTGAGGCTGCTAAATTAAAAGCTATTGGTTCTCGCAACTTGTTAAAAAGTATGGCCAAAAAGAGAGAAGCTCAACAACAACAGTTGCAGGTACAACATCAAAACATGTCAGTTTGGTGATTAAGTCAGTTCTTATTGTGGGTTAAAAACTGCTTTGTATTATTTTTAGGCATTAATTCTGGAGAAGTCAACTGAACTAGAACGACTACGAATACAACACCAATCACTAATACGCACTGAGCAAGAGCAACAAGAATTCATACAACAACTTGTTCTGAACCATTAAGTCACAAGAAAAGAAAGGCCCAAACATTGTTGGGTTACTGGAAATAAAATCTTAAAAAAAACAAAGAAAACAGTGAAATATTTGATACCAATGCCATTTATTTTGAGAAATAATACGTTTCAAAAAATTACAGGATAGTAAAGTTCTGGTTAGACACTTATACATTCCCTGAAACGCCTCCAGAGAGGCAAACTTCAAACAAGAGAGCACAAAAAATGATCACTTCACATCCCCATTACTTTGTTTTCGGTGCTAGTGATCGTTATTATTTCCACCATTTGACAAAACATCTAAAAAGAATATCACAGATTGTCTTTTTAAAAGTATGCTTGCCATCCTTTGAAAAGACGTGAAAGGTTAGCCACATCTCTAGCTTGCTGGATCAGACGATTAACCTGTCCCTCGATGCTGGATGCTGGCCCATCCTCTGTTCCTAAGAGCTTTTCCTTAAGTCTACACAAAACTCGTTCAGCCATTTTGTTCTTCTCTGTGTTGGAAACTTTTCCTGTAAAATAAATATCAAGCATGAATAAGAATAAGACACATCTATAGTTAAGTTTAAATGCTTCCCTTCCCAATGGCATACCTTCAGAATCTACAGATGATACGGATGCATCGCTGCTGTTGCTCTTGCCTTTTTGACGTTTAGCAGCCATTTTTGGTGTAAGTGACCATGCATACAGAGGATCATATAGAAGGACCTCAAGAATTGTCAGGATTTTTTCTTGATTACGTCTTAAAACAGCCATTGTCTTTTCACAAGACCTGATTGCAAAGAGACAAGTGATGAATTCATGATACACATACATAAAAAATAAGCAATTATGAATAGTCAGTAGGCATATACAACTCACCTTCGAAAAACACCTTCGACACCTGACAAACCCATGCCATCAACAACATCCCTTGTCAATCGGAATGGAACTGTTTCTGGAGTTGGGAGAACTTTACCTTGGTCAAAAGCAATGCCTAGAAGTAAAAAAATCAAATGATTTAAGTGACAAAACAATAATACAAAGTTTAAGGTAATAGAATTATTATTGTTGCAGTAACTTACCAAAATCAATATGAATCATCTCAGCTGTGCTATTATCAATAAGAATGTTTGAAACATGTCTATCACCCAAGCCCAAAATGTAGCCTACCATAGAATTGGTAGCAACACTGAAAGCAAAGAGACATTAGTTTTGTTTGACTTGCAACTCTTTACTTCTTCCCTAACACAGGTAACAATTTGAAAATAGAAATACTGAATACCTGTGCACATAAGCTAATCTGCGGTCAAACCATTCTGCTGGAGTCGGAAACTTCTCTGTGAAGAAAAATCTGAATGCAGGATGAAAGTTTCTACAGATTTCTTTGAACACATTAAGGCGTTCTGTGTTTGACTTATTTCTGGCATTCTGGAACACATTAAATTTGTGATAAGAGGTCACCATCCTGTACATCATTTGAAACAGAATGTTATTGATTCATATTGTTGGCATAACTTAAATTGCCAATGCTATCCTTACTTCTATCTTTTTCATGCAGACTACATCTTTCCAATCTTGAGCATTGTATCTTGAATGAACCGACCGTAGAACTTCCTGAAAAGGGGCAGTATTCTGGCACCACTCCAGAACACCACATCTTTGAGACAAAGGTACAATCTGCAACAGGGATAAGTTTTAATTTTGCGGCATTGATACAAAAAAAATCCACTCATTTTAGGTGTGCAGAGGTCACCTTATATGTACGAATCAGCAGTCTCCGGCGTTTGGTTTCTTGGCAATCTTGAAGCAAAGTGTTCATTATGTTGAATACTTGTTGCATCACTGCATCTTGCCGTAAGTCATCTCTCCCCTGAAACACGATTTTATTTGAAGTTGTTTATGATTAAACAAAATTAATTAATTGGACAAATCACAGAAACGGTACATCACCTTCACCAAAAGTGGTCTTTTAATTCCATCAGTACCTCTGCACATGATCTTTTTAGGCCTATTAATACCTCCTGCTATCTCATAGCTGGTGGCAAAATCAAGAATCCCTGAAGAGAAAGAAAGTGTGTAGAAGACATTAAAAGATTGACAAAATTATAACTAATTCACAATAAAAGTGTAAAAATGTCTAGACTCACTTATTATGTTGTCATATTTTGCATCAGACTGGACTGGTAGAGAAATAGTGGGAAGCATTGCATGCTGTAAATTCTGAATTTTTCGGATTTTTTCAGAATTCTGAATTTTATAAACTAAGTCAATAAAGAGAAGAAATTAATTGGGTTTTCAATGCAAGAATGACAGATCTGAAAATCCTTTCAGCTGAATAAACAATATAATCAGAAAGTCTATACCTTTTGCATTATGAGCAGGGATCGCTGCATACGCCAAACTAATCAGGGCTTTAGCAAGTTTGTCCATCTCAGTAACAATGTCATTTACTCTTTCATTCCTTCTCAACTCAGACAGCATTAAAGAAGCACCTAAAACTCGTGCCTACATAGAAAAAATTGACATTTTTTTTTGTTAGTGACTCCCCTCAAAGGATAAATAAAACATCTTTAATCTCCATTCTTACTTCAGGATTTGGCTTCACTTTCCCCTCAAAATCTTCATATGAATTTGCCAGGGCAAGAATGTGTGGAAGAGCATGATGAGGATGGTCACGGCAGCAACGAGCTTCAAAATACACATAAATAAATTACAATACCAAACAAACGTAACAAATAATCATTTCTATAGAGAAAATTTAAAAAAATGAACTTACTTAATAGCTTGAAGATTGCTTTAGAGAGTGTGTCCTTCAGATTGTCCCCTATCCGGGCAGCAAGTTGGGGTAGCAGCACAATAAATTTATAAGTCTGTATTTCCTCTAAAGAAGAGCTGACTAAATTATTCACAGCATCATGATCAGCATTCTCCAGCCACAATGACACCAGCCTGAACACAGGAAGATTGTCACCATGTCCAAGATTCATGCTTTTGAGGTAGTGTCTGCAAAATTTTATGACAAAGAAAATTAGTAAGGAAATGATGTTTCTTATCCAAGCATTCCATTCAAGAACAAAATAAGAAAAGACAAAACAAGAACCTTAAGGCTAGTTCAATAAATTGATTTTGTTCATCATATGTGTTTTTGATTTCCTCTCTATCCAATTTGGAACACATTATGGTAAGTCTGACTGCCCTCTGCTGTTCTTCAGTGCCCTCTTTGGCTTGCTGGTTTATTTGATTTGCTTCACCTGTCAGTTTTTCCATACATTCGACCTTACTTTGAAACAACTCGGACTTGATGTAGGCAGTTATCTGAGGATAAAGCTCATTGCTAATTTCAGAGAGCACATAAACTAATACATTGACAAATAATAATGAAGCCAAAGTGATCATACCCTCTGATACTCAAGATCAGCAAAGTGAGCAAGACAACAGTGGGCTTGAAACAAATGTTCGTTGACACGGAGATGTGCTGGAATTTTCTCTAAAAGTTTAAGGGCTTCTTGTAAGTAATCTTCAATAATTTGTTGGGGATTCTCCGACCGTGCTTCAGCCATCCATCTTCCATAAAGAATGTATGCTTCTGGTAGAAGAGGCGAAATTGTTGTCGATCCTATGTCACAAAAAGAAGTGTTTGGTAAAATGCATGAGCAATAAATTCATTTTTAATTATTTTATTTTTTAATTTGACAAATTTGTCTAAAACTAACACCTTTTTCTGTTGCTTTTAAGTCTTTCAAGAGAGATCCAAGGAGTTGACGTGCAACAGAAGTTGTTCCTACGTCATTTGATCCTTTGCATGAGTCCCAAGCCAGCTGAGCTTCCTCAAGACATATTCGTCTCTTATTTTCATCATTGAGATGTGGCATTATGGACAGACAATGCAACCATTGCTCAGCAATCTAGAAAAAAAGAGAGAAAAGGAATTTCATTCATAGACCAACCAATAGAATACAATTACAAGTGAAATACTAATATGTGTAACTCACTTGAACTTGTTCTTTTTTCCGAGCTAATACTGCTGTGTCAAGGTAATGTTGGGTCAGTTTTTTCTCTAAATAATTTGTATTTTGAGAAGGATTTTCTTCAACATTTTTCTGAAAAATCAGGTTTTCCATAAGCTTAGCTCTCTGTGCTAAAATAGGTTCCAATAAGTATATGTCGTTGAACGGCAAACTGCCTTGGTTTTTCCACTTGTCTACTATTTTCTGGGTGTCATCTTCTAAAATAAAATCCTCTATTTCCTGGAAAGACAAAAGAGAATTAGGGGGAAATAGTTTTTTACATGATATTTATAAATTTTTTTCCAACCTGGAGGGCTTGCAGTTGTGCCAAAGGTTTGTATATATTCTTGCAAATTTCTAAGCTGGAATAAGCCAAATCTTTCAAGACACTGAGTCTGCCTTCTTTAACACACTCATTTACAATGGATTTGTTTCCATCACGAATTGCTTGAAGAGCAGAATACTGATTCCATTCAAATCCTAAAGCCTAGGAAAAATAAATATATAAAATGATGCATATGACTTTCAAGGCATACAGAAAATATTTTCATCTACACTTTTCTTCCTGACCTTAGATGCCGGGGGCAAGGGCTTTCCCCACTCTCCTAATCGCCACATGCATTCCACTTGGGCAGAAAGAACCTGCTCATTTGAGTTGGGTGGCAGAGAGCTAACAAAGGTATTTAACAAATGAACAAGGCCACTGTGTTTCAGAGCATTCACAAGTCCTAGAAAATAAATACATCCCCATATGCTGTGAAAGATATCCATCTCATGGTAGGTAACACAATGATTAAGACAGGTTTTCATCTTGGTTATTACCATTAATTTCTCTGCCATCTTTTGAATGCAGCAGCTTAGCATCATAATTCAGAAGGGCTTTATCCCACTTTCCTATGTATTCAAATTGAGAAACTCGATGTTCAGAATTAAGAAGCATTGATGAACCACAACCATACAAAGCATCTGTGTCACCAATTTGCTGATAGGCCTATCAAAAAATTAAGAATAGCAATAATAAAAATAATGGCTCAATTAAATAGTTTTTACATCAAGACGTTTGGTTTGTACTGAAAACAGTACCTTTGAAAGAAGACTTTGTAAAATTTTCCCCTCATCTTCTTTAATTTCATAAAGGTAGTCAACATAAGCAACAGATGAACCATCAAAATCAGCATGTCTGTAACACAGAGGGTTGACACTCAGAAGCACAGAATACCAGTTGGGAATCTTTGCAAGAGCAAGGAAGAGTATTTAAATACCTGTCTTCAGTATTACACCACAACTCCATGTACATAATGGATGAAAGGTAGGCGGAACAGAATTGAGCAGCAGATGCTACATGCAGATAATTCACGTCCAAACATATTGCCTCATCATTCTCATATCTGAAAATAAAAAAAGGGATATCAAAGAAAATAGCATTAGACACTAAAAATATGTTTGAAGAAGATGAATTGAATGATATTTACTTGTCACATTTCTTAAGACGCACATAATTCACCACATTCAGCATGCACTGAACTGAGGCTCTGTCCAGAAATATGTTTGTGGTAGCTAGAGAAGTAATGAAGTGTAACATGATGTGATGCTGTATAAATTATTTACGTCATAAGTCAATGATAATATTAAACTAACTCACTTGCAGATAGGTTTGGTGTTTGTGAGTTTGAATAAGCTGTTGTATGTTTCTGAAAAAATTGACTAAGGCGAAGGGACAGCCTCTGACAGATATTTGCCGAATACCTCAGGCCCAAATAAAACAGTACTGGAAGCATTTCCTCGCCAAAAGAGCTCTGATTGATAAGATAAAATAAAATGTGTCAATTTGGGTTTTAAAATGAAGAATTAAAATAACACTGGAACTAGAAGACCTTTGACTTCACTCAGATTAATAATGAAAACATCCTACCTTCACTTTGCATAGAGCAGCAAGATTTTTAAAAATTATGTCATCAGAAAGGCATGCAATTAAAGAAGACACAAGATTTGTGATCCAGTCATTATGTTTGGTATCTTCAGGTGGAAACCAAATTTCTTCAGAAGATATCATGTTGATCAGGCTGTCCCTGTCTGACATCTTTGGCTTTGAAGTAAGTTTGGTGCTTTGTTCAGGAATAAATGGTGAAATCTTCTTTGATCTTAAACAATTAGTTATTGGCCTCTCAGTAGTACCTTCAGAAATAAGAAAAAAAAAATTAATACTTTGAAATTTTTTACAAGGACTTTTTTGGGAGCAGACACACTTACTGTGGAAATTGTCAGAACCTTCACAAAGCATAAGACTTTCAAGCACACAGCTTGCTTTTTTAACAACATTAACATCATGGTCAAGCAAATATTCAGACGCTAAGTGAGCAGCCACAACCATCACACATAGCATTGGGTCTCTGTAGCCCTCCACTAACTTTAAACATCCTTCCACTGGTCTCAAGACAGTTGTAGTTAGGTCCGCTGGCCCAATCTCACCTAAACAGCGTGATGCCTCTATCTGGACCTAATAAAGGAAAACAGAGAAGAGCACGCTTCAAAGTAATCAAAAAAGAAAGAGAGAGGGGAAATAAACTTAGAACATACCTTTAAATTTGTTGAAGATGTTAGGTTAATAAGTTTGCAAATTAACTGGTGTAAAATGCTTTTTTGGCAATCACTTGAGAAACCACGGATGTGTACCAAACCTTGATACAAATCAGCTAGCTCTGTCTTCATTTCATATAACTGCAATAAAAATAATAATAAGCTATAGTATTTGGAACTAAAATCATTGTTTTGGATGAGGTATTAAAAGGTGGAATAAGACAATGTTACCTTTTTCCGTAGGAAAACAAGTGCATCAAACATGGTGTCCTGACTAGCTAAAATACTAGTGCTGCCTGCAGAACTTAAAAAATGACGAATCTCTTCTTCAAGTGTAAAGCTGCTACCCTGATATTTCAGTTGGCAATGAAGACTATTTATTTCCTGAAATTTATCAGTGTCAGGGAATGGAGGCAGTTTCCCAACAGCTTCTTTTAAATGAGTGCTGTTATCTAGAAGAAGCAGCTTCATGAGTTTCAAGCTCCGTACTGCCAGAACATCAGTACCCTCTGACAGTGGAATCAGCCAACCAACAATAGTCGGCAACAAATCATTCAACGTAGAAGCACAATCAGGTAAGAGCTGTTGGTACAGGACGTGCAGGAAACTGGAAAGCAAAATCAACAAAGGACTAAGTTTCCACAAAGATAACCCCCTTTTGAGGAAACAAGACAGAAAGAATGTGAAAAGTTACCTGCAAGAGCCAATGCACACATCATGTTTCAGAGGGTCCTGCCTGTTCTCACGAATCAAATACAGTAAAGTATAAGTTACATCACTTAATACAAAAAACTCCAAATCACGATATTCCCCACTTTGCAAATGAAAAGCAATTGCTTGAGCAAACATAGTGTAGCTGTGAAGGGCTTTTATGCTCTGATCTAGAGGAATTGTATTAACCAAATCTTCACGTAGTTTTAGGAGAACTTTTTGGAAAATGATTGGTGACTTGCGACCAATGTGCACCAACAAATCAACTTCAAGCTGGAAAACTTTCTAAAGAGAGAGGAAAAGAGGGACTTGTTACATGTCAAGAAATACTAAAAAGAGCTGTAAAAATTTTCATGAAAACAGTAAAATTTTACCTGCAAGTATTTTAAGGAAGATGTGAAATCATCTTGTGATATGTAGGGAGGCCTGGGTGGAGTAGATTTAGGATCCAGTCCAAGCATTACCTCATGACGAGGAGGATCCCACACAAGCTTTGTTAGTTCAATAAGAATATCCTCAATTTTGGCCAATGCAAGATCCTTGACTCTATCTAACCCTAGTGTGGAAGTTAACAAGTTATGACTTCTGTGTTCACTAACAGCACTGTCAGCCAAACAGGGTAGATAGTGAGCATATATGGAAGGGAAAGCCGCCTACAAATCAAAATACAAGATTGAATGAGTGCAGTACCAGTATCATCAAAAAAGTAACATGCTATGGTTATCACAAACATACCGCCAGAACTTCCGAGGGATCTGAATGAATTTCTTGACATATGGCAGTAAAGTGACGTTGCTGATCATTGCATTTACAAACAACAGGTAAAATGATACCTTTATAGTGATTAAGGAAATCGGTAAAAGAAGGAACCTTAAATACAGCAAAAGGGAAATGCTGAGGCAAAAAGACTTAATATTAGGCATGGGCTCCATATGATGTGTCAAGAGGGCAAAAAATAAACAGGGAACAAACCTTCAATTCAAAGCCCAAAGACAGCCATTTCTGCAAAAGATAGGCAAGAGATTTTCCAAAGAAACTCTTAACACATTTGAGTTTCATAGCCTTCTCAAGCAAACCAAACACCTTGATAACCAAATCTGGAAAGAACCAGCAAGTCAATAAAAAGTAAGTAAAAATTATGTTAATGCAACCATGTATCTAAGTAAAATTGATTTACCCAATTTAACTTTCTTTTCTTTCACTAGGCATAGAACAAGAAGAATAGCTTGGTCATAACATTTCACACTTGTCGCAATGACAGCAACCAAAACATGTAAAACAACAGCAGTGCGATTAGAGATCTCATCTGCCTGATAAATATTTCCTTCCTGTAATCAGATTAAAAAATAAGAGATACATCCCACAATTCCAATAACAAAGTTAACTAAAGCTATTTACCTCAATAATTAATAGCTGGCGTAACACAACAGACAATCTCTCAAACATGGTCTGCATCCAAGGGGTGGTGTGATGAAGTCCAGCCAAAAGACCCACAACACTTGGCACAACTGCTAGGCGGACTTCATGAAAAGGGTTCAAGAGGAAGAAGATTGCTTCTTCGACTATAGCCACACGATTTTCATCTTCAAATGTTTGAAGGGCAGCTTTAGGGATCTGGACATCAACAATCTGTCTTAGACTAGAAACATTGGAAGTGAGCCATTTTGCCCATTTGGAGTCCTCATCAACCTGCAAAGCACATTGGAAACAAAAGAAATTTTTAAGATACATCGAGATATATCTGTTATAAGATTAAAATAATAAAACATACTCTCAGCAGCTCTTCAATACATGATATGAACTGAACTGTAAACTCTGGGCCATATTGTTTGTTCTTGAAAGGAGCAAGGAGTGTTGCACTAGCACATCTTTCCCATTTACCAGAAACATATTTAAAGACATCTGAAATTTAAGAACAACCACAAATGAGCATAGAGCCAATGTTTAGTTTTATTATCATAGTTTAAAACATCATTAACCATCAATGATTTTCTTACCTTTCAGGTGAGACAGCACATAACAAGAGGCCTCTGCATCTTTAGACCAGGTCTTACATAACTTTTGCATGAATTCAAGAATTTTTTTCACATGCTTTTCTTGATCCAATCGCTTTTGGGTTAACATAATGGACAGGCTTTGATGAATCTAAAAGGAGCCGGTTATTCTTTTTAATTTTGAAAATACTTTTGGTGTACATGGCTGTTTCAAAATAAGATCCTTACCATCATAAATTCGGCTTCTGAGGCTAAGTTAAAAATTTCAGAATCAGATAAAATTTCAAGTACTCTAGTGCTTACACTTTTTTGTTTGCTTATAAACTTGATCCCATTAACTGGAAAGGCATAAAGAGTGAGAACTCTAAGGCAACGATCTTTGATGAGATCGACATCAGTAAGAACAGTATCTTCTAAAATGGTAGATGAAAAGGTACTGGATATATTAGTGCCATCATGTTGTAAGTTGGAAGACAATAAGTCCACAATCGGCACGATAATTTCCGGATGCGTTTCTTCACACAGATGAGAGCTTACAGGAGGCAATAAGTCACTGCCATAGAGCAAACACAGTGATTTTAACACATCATATGTTTTAGATATTTCAGAAATTTGGCCATTTTCTGCTTTCAAAATATCAGGCAGTAGAGCCTTGAGGATTTTCATGGCTTCCTTAAATCCATCATCAAAGTAGCTGTCAGAGAAAGACTCTTCAGAAAAGACACCATACTCCATCAGAAGGGACATAAGATTTACCATAAGGCGGGCAAAATCTATTGTGCCACAGCTTAACTCAACTTTTAACTTCCAGGAATCTATTGTCCGTTGTGTTGATGAAGCAAGATCAGTAAACTTTTGATGCAGTGAAAAATACTTATCTCTCATCAAGTCTTCTAAAAGTTTCAGAGACGATTTATCCACAATACAAGAAGAAATATAATTTGAGGACACAGTATGATCAAAGACTGAACCACCTTTATTTGGTGGTTGAAGAAGGCCACTTTCAAAAACATTCAAACAGTAATCTGTTTCCAATGATGATTGTTTCAGCTGAATGCAGGTAGTAGCCTTCCCAGATTTTAGTTTCGATGGATCATGTTTTGTTTTTACAACAAGAATTGACAAGATTTGAGCCTGTAGCTGTGTGTCGATTGCAACATTTCGTTGGGCTGAACACAGCCATCTCAGGAGACCCACACGAGCAGAACTCATGGGTATAAATTCCCACATTGCAAACATGTTACTGTCATCGCAACCGCCAGAATTCTCTGGTAGATGATAGAACGATAGTAAAGTTATCAATGTCTGCAAGCTATCATTAGACAGTTGAATCGAAGATTTTACATACATCCGTATAAGTTGCTCTAGGTCTGAAATGGAAGGTACTCCTCCAGCAATAAGTCTTCTTAGGAGACAGCCACTTTCATTTGACCCTGGGGACTTTGAAATTTTGTCCCACACTCTCAACCACTTATCTGTTTCCAAATTTCTTTCAGACATCACCTTACTTAAATGTTCGCAACAGGAGTGAATGTGAGTCAAAGGCTCTTTGTTGTTGCAATTGAAAAGCATATCACATAAAATATCAAGAAGTTTTAGAAGCTCACAATCTTGAAATATATCTGGGTGTTTCTCTAAAATTCTTGACACAAAAGAAATCAATGCCCAGGATGGGTTCTTTCGGCAGGACTGGAGTTCATCAAAAATTTCTTCCACACTAATCAGGCATTTCCTCTTTTTGGCAGCTGGACCCTGTTGGGTTTCGATGATGGACAGTGATATTTCATATGCCAATTTTGATTTATCAAATAATTGATAGCAAAGTGCCACAGAAAGGTCTAGAAATCCATCAGAAAATGGAGAATAACCCAGACCTTTGGATCTTCTTGAAATCATACCAAAGACAGCACGATACATGCTATTCAAGTGATCATTCCATCTATTCCAGTTGCATGCATATGCAGCATCTGAACCTTGTCGAGCTCCATTAGGGTGATGACACTGCATTTGAAAGAGCAGGAAGTCTACTACCACTTTGTTTCTGGGACTTTTATCCCCTAGCTTTGAATCAAACATCCTGATAACAGAAGCTAGAATGGATTCGCCTAATTGACATACGCCTGAGCGAGTTTCTTTTGCCACAATAGTACAAACACAGAGTGCAAGAGATAATAATGCTTCTTGAGCAGCTGGGTTACCATCATATATGGCATCAAACTTTTCCCGTAGAAATGGGAGCAGCTTGTTTTTCACTTGGATACACAGGTGGGACTGTTTGCAACCATAGTGAATCACTTTCTTCACTAAATCACACTCAGAGTGCAAAGCACCGCTATTCCGTTCCTCTGCAATACATTTTAAGTGATCTAGAACACAGTCTAGGAGATCCTCCCACTGATCGTTCCTTAGTTTGGTTCGATACTTTCTGACTGGTAGGACGTAGTCTTGGATTATGGCACTGAAAGATGTCCCAAAGTTTCTTCGTAAATATAGATCTGAAAGTACATAGACACAAGCTCCTAGCACATCATCACTGTTGAGGGTAGGGCTGAACTCATTAGCCTTCTTCAATACTTTAATGATAAGACCTGAAAACTGTGTCTTGGACTTTTCTCTGTTAGTTTGAACTTGTGCTGAACCTTTTCCCTCATCATTTTTCCAGCACTCAGATTCCTGCAAAAGAGCAAGACACACTTCGTTTTTGTTTTTCATAAGAGAGAAAAAATGCAATAGGAACTTGTTAAAAAGCTTACTGATTTGAGAGCTCCGAATGTGACATTAAACAACACACTCCAATTCACTCGGTCCGAATTTGAGTTTCTGTGTAGCAATTGGACAACATCCGGATTGAACAATATTTCTGATAGTTCAGCGACAGCTTTCTGCAATGTTAAAATGGTAGCAGAAAAAATGAGTACATAATAACAAAAGGACATTTGAGATGTGTGGACACTTTACACATACTTTTCTCTGTGCACTCTTCAAGGACTGGCATTCGTCAACCAAATTCCAAAGTCTTGATTCCATGGTAACTAACCCACTACACTTCCTATAAAACAAGACAACTCATTAAAACCATCAAACAGAATATAACACAATATAAGTTTCAGAAAAGCAAGAAAGTAAGAAAGTGTTCCAGCGGAACTGTTTAGTGGGGATAGTGGTGGGTTAGACGACCATGCACCACGGGAGAAGAGAACAAAACAATCAAACTTATACCAAATTATAAAAATTTCAAGGCTTCGACTTTCAAGGACAACTTACACACATCAAATTAACTAGACAGTTCCGCAGAGAGGTGGTCGAGGGCCAGTTGCACACAGTTGCATGTCTCTAGGCTCCTCTTTTGACTCCTTTGTGTGTGTGTTGTGTTTATGACAGCGCGCCGGGCGCCACCGGTCCGCAGCAAAGGGCCAACCTCAGAAATAGAAAATACATTGTGAAATCTGAGACGCCTTGTACTTTATGAAAAAGTGGAAACATAAATTGTGTTTGGAAAATTTAATTTCTAAAAGGTAGTTAAAAAACAAGTCATCACTTCACTGGGTGCTAATGATGATTTCACGTGGACTTGTGTTATTTAATGTTGGCAAATTTGGAATGAAGACAGGGGCGCGAAAGATGGACGGGAGGGGGTAATCACGAACACGATCAAGAGGAAAACATAAACAAAGGGATTCGTAAAAGCAAGCATTATCTTTACATGTCTTTCCATGTAACACTGTCTTTGCAATTTGCCAATTATCAAATTTGCATACTCGACATACATTTCCTGGAAGGAACATCATTTAACGTGCGCGCCAAGATGTTTCGTTGGTTTGTCGTTGGCTGTTTAAAAATAGTTTTTTTCGCCTAACCTATGAAATTGAGCCACGAGAGGTTTTCAGAAACTTATTTTCAGCGTCTAGAGCGTGTTACGCCAATTGCTCAGTTTGCCGAAGGCACTCGTCGCGACACGTCTCTCTCGTCCTATCCGCTGACATGTTTGGGTTTCTCGATTTTCCCAAGATGAAAATTGTCCTGTACGGGTTGACATTTCTTGGGTATGCATACAGCGGGTATGGCGCGGATGTGATTTCCCACCTTCGGGATGCCGTTTTGACGGCAGAGACTGTTTTTGGTGATTTTGTGGATAACTTCATGCATGTGGCCAAAAAGTTTAGGGGATTGACAGATGTTTTAAATGCAGCAGTGGATGAAAACTGTCATTTTATATGTCCCAATGGTTAGTACTTTTTATGCTGCAATGGGCCATGAATTTTCTTGTCAAAAAATACTATCTTCTTGTTTTGTGTAGGAATGAAACCTTTGCCGAACAGATACCACAAGCCATCTAGCAATGGGTGTGGACCTGTTGGAATGGAGGTAAGTGTTCACTGATTTGCAGTATGGATAGCCAGAACCCTTTGTTCCTACTATTGTTTATTGTGTGACTATGTCTCACTATAAGAAAGATTATTTCCTTTTAAGATTCCCAAAGACGCCCTTCCTGTGTCGGAAATGACAGAGTGCTGCAACCAGCATGATATATGCTATGATACTTGCAATAATGATAAGGAAAAATGCGACTTTGACTTAAGAAGGTGTTTGTACAAAATATGTGATAATCATGCACAAACTGTTGGATCAGCTCTCACAACAGGTACTCCTTTCATTTTCATTGTGACTACTTTTATCCATTTAATTTACTTACTATCACATACTCATTTGTTAATAATTGTTTTTTTTTTTTTTTGTTTTTTGTTTTTGTTTTTGGCAGTTTGCAAAAGTGTCTCTAAGACACTTTTCTCAGGAACTATAACATTAGGATGTAAATCATACTTAGACGCCCAAAAAGAAGCCTGCTTCTGTCCCGGAAATGGAAAGAGATACAATTCACCTAAGCAAGACCTTTAAGCAGGGCAGGAAAAATTTGGGCAGCAGCTAATTTTGATAAATTGTAAAGGGGGATACCTTAATTTATGTAATAAGATAAGATCCAAATAAAAAAAATTGTATTGAAATTATTACATCTTTAGCTGTACATACATCCAGCACTTCATCAATGCACAAAAATTCATTGAAATGCAATATTCTGCAATGATTTAAAATAAGTACAGAAATAATATTACTGACCAGATCAGTTGAAATGTGAATAAGACAGAGTTAATGGTATTTTAGGCTTTCACAATGTTTTGAAGAAATTGCCGGCAATACTAATCAAGCTGTAAGGCCCAACTTCTTGCTTAGCTCGCCACTCTCATGCAGTGCTTTGACATCTGTGCCACCTCCAACACATTCACCATCCAAGAAGACTCGGGGAACCTACAAAGAAAGAAACATAACTGTGAAAAAAAAAAAAGCCAAATAAAATTTCCACTTGGATGCAAAAGTACATACAGTCTTGGCCCCAGTCATTTCTGCTAGAATTGCCTGAATCTGGTCTCCATCATCTCTGTTGTCCAACTCAACTGCTGTGTACTTGTAGTTAATTTTGTTAAACACCTGGAATGAGTAAAACCAGTTAAAGAGATTTTCAAACAAACATGGTATGTTAGTTTGTTAATGATTACCTCCTTTGCCATGGTGCAGTATGGACAGTAGGTCTTCGAGAAGATGACAACTTTGTCATCAGAAATCATCTTCTTCACCAGCTGAGCAAGCTCACCGTTCATATCGACAGGTTCCACGGGACCTGCAAATGGAATAAATAATTTAAAAGTGGGCATCAAAGTGAAGTTCAAACAAATTTTAAGATCTGTGCAGGGAACGAACGGCTGACATGAGGACTGAACAAATTGTAATATCTGGGCAGTTGTGAGCATATTGAATTGTTCCTAGAAAAACTATAGCTAGATTAGATTGAATAAGAGGCAAACTGCATACCTTTCTTCTTGGGAACTCGTGGACAAAACATTATGCTGAAGTGTGTGACTAAGCTGTGAACAGAGATACCTAGTGTGAAATATTGGCAACTAAGAAATTAACGACGGTACCAAGCTTCCTAAACAAGGTACACAATTTTGAAAATAGACAGTGAGACTTATAGAAGCACTAAAGCCAGGCCAGAACGTGTGTAACCAGTCAACCTAGACATACTCTAGGTCAACCTAGCCTCTACGCCGGTGCGGTGAGGGTGGTTACATACACACAGCCGAACGTTCAGAAGCTCGGAGCCCGTGCGACTTTGGCTTTTGTGAAGACAAAATCAGTGCAATGCTCCTTTCGTCTCAGAGAGGACGGCTGTCAGGTCACGAGACTCACCAACACCAACGCAAACACGGATCAGAGAAGCGTCTCGTCTGACAGACGACTGACTCACTGACACTGACGACGTTGAAAGAATGCGTGGTGTGGATCAATGTGAATGTGGAGTTCCCCCTCCCTACCCCCTCCCCTTCCTATTCCTACCGCCATTCAAGAGAATGACATGCATTACTTCACATTTCTGGCGATATAAACCACAACTGCCCGATGATATTGTTTGTGTTCTTTTAGACACTACTTCATGCCATCCAAGGCTCAATTATTTATTGCCATGTCATTGCCTTTATCATTAGTCGTTGCAGATATCGGTTACTGTCAGTGGTGTAATAGTCCGCCATTCGATCATTAGTGATAACTTGACAGAGCTCATGGTCTATTCATGTCTTACCCCTAGAAAAAATTCGGAAAATCCTTTGAATCAGGGACATGTTTGCCTCTTTCTCTCCAGTGATGACGGCGTCCTCCTGTGTTGAGAGTGAGGTTAGGATCGATAGAGAACGGGGAGGGGGATGGGGGATAGGGACAGGTTTGACAACATACGCACACGAATTTTTAAAGAAGCGCGTTTTCCGTTCTAGTCGTTCGCGTTAACATTGCACTGTTCCTCAGATTTCCAACAAGAATATCTCAGTGATTGCGGTATTACACAATGCATGACCCAACGAACATCTTATTTCTTCTTTCCTGATTTTATTTGACAGTTGGTGCTCTTTCCCTCCGAAAAGTTAAACTCACATCCGCTCATATGGATGGAAGGGAAGACCAGGAAAAACAATGATAAAGGGAAGGCTTCAAACACTATTTTTATCTCGATTTTTATACATTTTTATTTAACACACATACATAGAGTGGAATGTTCCAAAAGTACACTTTTCTACAACACAGACACACAGAACAGTCACTAAAATTTACAATTATTTTGATTTTGAATAAGGTATCTTTTCCCATGAATTTTATTCCCATGATTTTATTACTTATTTACTTTCCTTATTGGTCAATCTTATGAGGAGTAAGGTCCATACACACATCACATGAAAATATTGCACCGCATAGAGAGACAAGCTGAGAAAGGCATTAGTTTAAGTACAATTAACCCATATTCTCATTTTGTTCCTAATATTTTTTTAAATCACAAACGGGACTAAAGGAAGTATTACAGAAAGAGGCACCAATAGTTGTATTCAAAGAAAATATGAGACAGACTTGGAAACATTTAATTTACTCCACTCCGAAGAATAGAAACAAACCAGACTTTCTACAGGAGGAACAAAACATGAACACATGGGAATGGACATGAGATGCGTACCACACCGTTTGTAAATGACAAAGAAGCTCACATTTTATAAAAAAATAAATATCAAGGGGAATTTTTTCAAAAATCTTAGTTTAAACTCCGACGTTGGCTTCTCGGTTTCGTTACTGACATTTTGACCTAGCAGGATTGGTTTGGAAAATATACGTTAAGTTGTTCTACCCCCTCTTCAAACTCGGCATTTCGATTTTTTTCTATTTCTTGACATCACTTTTTCCCGCTTTGTGCTAAAGCTCCGCCCGCAGTCGTTGATGGGCAGTCAGCGGCAACATCGATACCCGTTGCCCCCCTCTCCCTCCACCTGCTATCCTCGCCATCCTTATCCTCGCCGCACTGGCGAGATAGATGGCGCCATCATTCGGCGGGCCAGCCCCGCCAGCGAGCACTCCTCTGAAAGGGGTGAGTCGCCTCCCGAGGCGGAAATGGAGCAGAAAGGTGGGGAAGGGGGCGTGGCGGAGGAGAGAGAAAAGGGGGAGGGGGCGTCATTTATGAAATTCCCTTAAAACTACGTCAGATCTGCGAGGGAAAGAAGATTTATTGGCCGGATGAATTCGTCCGAGAGCAACGACACCTATTCATTTAACAAAGAGGTGCCAGAGGAAGGATTGAGATGCATTGATTATGACGATCTCTGAGTGGAGGGGGTTGGGTTCAGTTTGTAAGGGAAAGGGGGGGGGGACAAAATAACATTTAAGGACATACATTTTTCGGATTAAAGGCACAATAGATACAGAAATCATGTCTACACACAGAGGGCCCCGGAAAGAAATTGTCAAAGCAGATAAATGTCAAAGAGAGAATAGTAGTTCTCTAGAAGATCTCAATAATAGCGACACACATTTCTATAGAGGAAAGGAATAAGTCCTCAAAACATCTTCGGGTTCACATCTATTCACACAAGGGTAATTTATTCGATAATAAATACACTCATTATAATCTATCCGCAAACTTCCAGGTCACATGTCTAGAGGGAGGGGAGTTAATTTTGATTGCCTGCCAATACTGGCTCGATGCTTCCGCATTCGTTCTACCTCGCTCGGGAAAAGTCCCCCGAACTCCAAGTCAAGCGAAACCTCACAACTCCGCCTTGAACTAATTTCTTTTTCTTTCCGCCACAAAGCCAGTTTGTAGCATTGCCGCTTCAGGCCGTGCACCGCGCCAGTATCTCGGGACCGAGGAGGGTTGTGCACGCAGCGGCAACGCGGCAGTGGCAACGCTTGGCGACGTCCAGCGGCGCGGCCTCCACGAAGTTGACGAGGTCCGTGCCGGTGGCCGGTCCGCACCGACGCGCCTGGGCTGCCTTGGCCGAGAGCCGAGCTCGGCCGGGAATCCGGGAAGGACTCAGCAGGTTTTCGCAGCCACACTCCGGCAGACCCATTTCCCACCGGAAATCAAGACCAGCAGGCACGACGCGGTGGCTGGTCTGGCTGGGCCCCACACCACAGCCCCACGGCCCACGGCCCCACGGCCCACGGCCCCACGGGGCAGGCTGCGCCGCTGGAGGCCGGCAGGGTGGCGAGGAGAGTAGGCGGCGGGCCCGACTAGGCGGTCTGCGGGCGGGCGGCGGCGAGCACCAGGTTGGCGGTGGACGCGGTGCCGCGGCGTTGGCGGAAGCAGAGGATGGCGAGGGCGCGTACGAAGAAGCCCCGCGCCCGGCGGTGCCAGCGCGCGCCCTTGGTCGGCGACTCTGGAACAGGACACACACAGTCAGCACGGTCAGTGAGGTCATTCGGCGGCCGTCAGGATGCCGTCAGGACGTCCCACGCACGCCGCCAGGCCGCCAGGCCGCCAGGGTCAGGCACAGACAAAGCAACTAAGTACTCTACAGAGTAATCAACAGGCCGCACGTACGCTACGCGCTCCGCGACGCGACGAGGTCCGGGCTGGGGCCGACCGCTCCACCGCACCGCGAGTTTGGCGCGTGAAACGACTTTCCGGCTGGCTGCACAGGGCTGCCTGCTGGCTTCTCTCTCCCTCGCACTCGGCGTCCCGCATGGATCGGAGAGAGACAGAGTCAGCCTGATGGCGTGGCGGGCGTGGCCCCACCATTAAACAAGGCGGCCTTTCTGACTCGGTTAATCCGGGGGCGGGAGACTAGCGCCCCGTCTTAGGCTTCGGCCTCGCCGGGCCTCGCCGGGCCTCGCCACCTCGGACGGGCAGACGAGCAATTGCCCCACTATGGACCGGGGGCGGGGGCCGTTGGGCCAAGCCCCCCATAAAGGGAAGGGAAATCTCCGCGCTGGCGAGACACCGCCTCGGCCTGGCCCTCGGCGGAGGTCACGCCGAGAGAGGGAGGCGGGTGTAAAGGACTAAAGGACCAGGCGGCTTTTAGGACGCCCTCTTAAGGGCAGAGCGACTGAGGCCCGGCGATGCCATTATTGTCGGTGCAGATGGACCTAACCTGTTGAATCGGGGAGTCTCCGGGAGTCCGCAGTGACCCGTGTCGCGGCGTGTAGCGTGCCAGGCTTGGGTCTCGAATAGAGTCTCGAAGCGGCTCGAGCGCCTGCGAGGTAGGCCACTCCCGGAGCGCGGCGCACGCGTGTCTCGCCAGTGCCTACCTCGCAGGCGCTCCCCTCGCCGCTGTTGCTCGCGGCGCGCAGCAAGCGCGCGGAGCAAGCGCCCTCGTCATCATCATCATCAGCGCCCCACCGAAAACTCCAACTTTTTAACTTTGTCGACGGCGACCGCTGCAAGCGCGGCACAACTTTATTTAGAAACGATCTTCAATTTGTGCTTCCTCGCTGTTGCCGCGATTCGGAACAAATGAAGCAAGTTTTCGCTAAGCCGTCTCTCTCTGGCGGACTGCGGACTGGCGGGCTGGCCGGTCGACAGACGCACAACAAAGTGAGGCTCGTCCAGCGGCCCCCCGTATCGATCCCCAAGTGGTGTGGCAAACAGCACGCCACGCAACGCCACGCCACTCGCAGCGCGGCTTGACAGGGCGGAATAAAACTTATCGCCGTGCCGCCAGCCCCGCCAGCCCCGCCACCCCGCCACCATTAATTATTTCTAGCGTCCTCTGCTTTTGTTGTGCCGCGGTTTACTCTGCGGATGTTTGCCGTGTGGTGCGAGGCGTGGCCAGTGGCTCTGGAAAACCCTCGCAACAAAAACATGCATCTACCTACGGAACAACAACATTCCACTAAAAAGAATTCAACGAAAGAGACAAACTAAACGTGTACAAAAGCGACAGCGACAGTAGCTCTGAAGGCTTCTAACAACAACGGCAGTGATGATCACTAAGAAAACAGCAACGAACAAAAACAACTACGACACGTACAGACAGACGCTGCGTGTGAACTCACAGTGAAGCAACATTACGACAAAAGCAAGTGGCGCTCCAAACCTCTACGATGTAAGAGAAACGTCCGATAGCGAATTTGCAATCGAAAACTACCAAGAGTTGATCCTGATCAATGGAATTTTGATTTAACTTTCTGTCTCAGGCGGCTGACTTGTGTCGCCGAAGGAGCGCGACACAGCCACCGACCAGGATCAAGCAAGGCGGAGCATTACGAATAATACAGAAGCTGAAAACGGAACGAGCTGCGGGCAGCCCGCGCGGACCACACCCTAGAAAGGCGTTTCTTGCACCAAGAAAATTGACTTGCATCAAGTTAATCCACTTGGAACAAATTGAAGTAAGTTGAAGTAAATTTGCTTGATGCAAGTATGTAGTCGAGGTTCAAGAAACGGCTTGTTTGGGTGCAGCCGGCCGGCCGGTGACGGCTTCGCTTAGAGGCGGGCAGGCTATGCCGTCACTGGCCGGGCCGTGCTGCAGTGCTGCTGCCCCGCGGTGGCCGCGGCCTGCGACTTACGCCTAGCCCTGCGTGGCGATGGAGCCGAGGGGGCCGAGGGGGCCGTCCCCCGGGGGCTTGGCCATGCCTTGCAAGGCGCCGTGGCCCCCGTTGGCGCTGCCCGGGGCCCCGCCGGCGCCGCCCTGTGCCTGCGGGCCCTGCTGTCCCTGCTGTCCCTGCGGGCCCTGCCCCGAGCCGCGGCGGCTGGCGAACGGGTTGCGCAGGCGGTCGGTGGCTCCGCGGCCCCAGGGCCGCTCCAGGGACACCCGGTACCCGGTGCGGAGGCGCTCGGCCAGCGACCCGTAGGCCGTCGACACGCGCTCCTTGATGTTGCCCAGCGCGAGCTTGAGCCGCTGGCCGGACGGCGCGCCGGGCACGCCGCCGGCGCCCGCGTCCGCGCGGTCCGCGCCCAGGGCGGCGTCCGCTGCGGAGGAGGGGGCAGAGAGACGGTGGCAGAAGGTTAGGAGCAGACCTTTGGGACCGGTGGGCCCTTCGGGGCCTTCGGGGCGGGGCGTCCTACGCGGGGACCGCGCTGCCGTGCGTGGCCGCCGAGCCGCGCAGACCGGCAGGCCGATGCCGGACAGTGCTGCGTCGCTCTGGCCCGCTCACGCCCGTGAGTGCGAGAGAGCCGAGCGACGGGCAGCACTGTTCGGAATGACCCGCTGGCCCACGGCCGGCACGGCGTCGCATGGCGTGCACGCATGGGACGCATCGATTAACACGCTGCTCTCGGTGACACGGACGCGGCGACGCGGCGAGAAGGGACCGTGAGGGACACTGGGACTGGGTGCCGGCCGGTCAATGCCGTCGGGCCGATGGCGCGATCGCGACGCGGGGGCGGCTTTCCGTGACTCCACAGAGTCGTTTTCGTCGCTCTGTCTCTCTCGCACTCGTGGGGCGTCCCGTTGAGGTGCGGCAGAGACAGGGCGGCGAAAACAACTATTGAAATCAGTCTGCCGCCACTCCACCCCGTCGGTCCTGGGAGTCTCGGCGCGCGGGATCCGTGATAGCACTAAACGCGCCTCGCAGACAACAACAGCAACGACAGGTGCTTTACTTTTACTTGTTACGTGGACACAAACTGGTTTGCTAATTTTTGCCGACAGTCTGCGCCACAGCGAAGGGCGCTTTCTAGTGACAGCACCCACAGTGGCGGCATTACGTGCAGACATGAATCAGTGAAAACGCAGGATGGATTACTGAAATTAGATTAAGTAATTCAAGTGTAATTACATTGATGCTAGAGAGGCGTTTTACTGTTGTTGTGCTTATGCGTGGCAGTGACACGAATCAGAAATCGGGATAATCTTTTTACGTTTTGCGAGTGATTCTACGCGACTAAAAGTGAAATTGACCCACAGTGCAAATCGTCGTGTATTTCCTCCGGACACCCGGTATTGACATGACAGAAAGCACACGAGTATGTACATTTAAAACGGACACAAACACGAAAACTTTGAGGGAAAGCAGAGAAAATGGAACAGACCGGTTATTCGCGTCGGGAAAGGGTTCAGCCCACTGGGAAAAGGCGGGTGGCTTTGATTCGGGTCCGGGATTTCCCTGCAGTCAGCTGCAAACCGACTCCGAACCGTGCTTTCGTCGCTCTGTCTCTCTCTCGCGCTCAGGGGCGTCCCGCATCGGTGCGAGAGAGACAGAGCGACGAAAGCGCCGTTCGGCGCGAGTCTGCTGACGCGTGGTTCCGAAAGGGCGTCCGGCCAGCCACACGGACGGCAACCCCCGCACTCACCTGGCAGTCCTCGCGCCGAGTCCACCGACGCCTGCTGCGGCACGGACGCGGCCTGCACGGGCCCGGACTGGAACAAAGAGCAGACAGTGATCACCTCGCGCGCCTCGGTGATGAATGGCTCCAATGAATATCCCAATATCTCCCCCTCTCTCTCCCCCTCATTCTCTCTCCGGCGGCACCCCGACCATGCTGTGAAACGGAGCTGGAGACGGTGGCTCATTAGCTGGCGGACAGAGACAGCTGCAGCGCCGTGTCCTTGCCACTAGCCCCGCCGCCCGGCCGCCCCGCAGCCAGCAGCAAATTCCATTGGCACGTCCTGATGGTCCTGATGGTCCTGATTCGGATCGGGACTTGCCCCGCCCCGCCCCGCCACGCCCCTCGGTGAATCCGATTGGCTCGCGACGCGTAGCGACGCGCTGCTCTTCGGCCAAAGCGGATCAGGGCGTTCTGATCACTGCCGCCGAACACGTCGCATTCCACCTTTTGGACCAGAAAATAAATATTTTTTTTGTGGAAGCCGGAAGCCGATTAATTTCTCATTTTTACGGGGCGACTCTTCGCTTTTCTTTGGAATAAATTCCCTACTGTCTGGGCAAGGAGGATGACAAAAAGAATCCTGCTTTCCATGGGATCTTCTTTTCCCATTTATTGGGGGATCATTCTTTTTATTTTTATCGCGTGGAATAACTTTTCTGGGTGCTTTCCTCCCGCCGGACCGAGCTGCTTTATGCCGCGCAGACCGAAAGCAGAGAGGACGGTGGACAGAGGCATGACTGCGAAAGTGGAGAACACGGGGAAATAAAAATAAACAATAGGGTGGAATAAAAGAGCCGCCCCCCGAACCCGTGACCCCTCCCCGCGGGCCGCCATCCACGTGCCCGCGAAACCCGCGCGCAGCACGCAGCGGCGAGCAGCAGTGAGCCCGGTGGAGGGGACGGGGACTCGCGAACGAACGAGATGTGCGCGAGAGAGAGAGAGACAGACAGAGAGAGAGGCTACGCAGCCACGTGCCGAATTCTCGGGGCGGAATGCACTTTTGGGTGGCGTGGAGCAATAAACGGGGTGGCGCGGCCTTTCCAGTGGCGCTGCAGCGGCGGGGCGGGGCACTGGGGGCGCGGCGGGTATAACGAAATGACGCAAACTCGCTTCCCTGCTCCGCTGCTCCACTGCCTGCTGGTCCCGCTGGCGAGGCTCGCCTTGCCCGCCTCGCCTCGTGCCGCACAAGTCGCGCAGGACGGATTACCCCTGTGCCCCTGTGGCAGGCCCTGTGCCAGGCCGCCAGGCCACGCGAGGTCGCCGCCGTCGCTGCAGCACTGGCAAGATTGAGGCGTGGCATTACGCGTCAGAAAGGGGCACGCCGTTCTTGACGGCGTGCAGAGGGAAATCCCCCATGCATTTAAGATAGGAGGGATAGGGGGTTAAGCTCCCGTGCGCTTTACGAAGGCCGTAAGCGCCAGTACACGCTTGACAGGAGTAACGTTACGCTGTTGATTTTACCCGTGAGCAACGCGCCGGCACAAAAAAGAGGCACAGCAGGGAGCAGGTGTCTTTTTCTCTCGCTTCCCCCTATGGAGCAGAAAGTCACACTTTGTCGCCGTGAATAAGCAATGGGTAGCGCGAGAGTGCCGTGGGCGGGGAAACAACAACAACAAACATCAACGGGGACGAAGATGGAAGCCAGAAATGAAGTTATGTACTTCGTACGTGAGTACGTGAGCAACATGAGCGACGGTTGGCTGGCCCTGCGTTGCTCCAGCTTCCCTTCTCCCATCTTCCACCGCCCTGCCACTACTCCGTAACCCCTTTCACCCCGTTCCTGGATCCACCACCTTGCGGGGTGGGACCGAGAGCAAGGCCCACAACTACAGTCTGTGTTGTGGTGTCAAAGGGAATCAGACGGCGTGGTCCAGACTAACTTTGGCGTCCGACAGTCCGACGGTCCGTCGGGGCGGGGAGTTCTCGATCACTGTCGCCATGCCGATGCCACGGCACGGCGAGCAAGCGTCCGATTAGCTTCGACCGACGGAGAGAAGGAAAGTTTTCCGCGGGGCTCCACTTCGACTCCAGCAAGCGGCCACCGCACCGTAAGTCTCTCGGGGGCTTCAGCCTTCAGCCCGGGCTTTGACGCGGTGGCGGTGCACTGTTACCGTACTGCTGTTGCCTAGGCTGTTACCCACGACCCCCGCTTAGCAGCTCCTGGCAGAGAAACCCCCAGCAGGCCTCGAGCAGCGGCAAGGCGAGCCTAGAGGCTTGCAAGCCATCAGGCAGGCAAGCCTTGAGGCAGACGGCCCGGAGCACAACCTGGAGCGCCGAGGGCTTAGGCAGCCAGTCGACCGGGGCGGCGAGGTGGCCGCACACCCAGGGAACGATTTACTTGATTCGAAGCTTGATTTTGTCTCAGTCAACTTTTGAGAATATTTTATTCAACTCTAGGATTTTTTCTCAAATTGAAGCTGCTTTCTCACATAATTTGTCTCGTGAATGAGACAAATATTGTCTCAGATGTTAAGAGAACCGACACAAAAATGCTTGAGTGTCGTGAGAATCGAACCCGGAGCGTGGGAACTGGCGAGCGGTCACGTAGACCACTACGCCACGACTCCAGCTGTGGTGGGGAGGGGACTGGGCGCTGTGGGTTGATGGTCCCCGTCAGCGCACTCCAGGCATCCCCACCCCAGCTTCCCCGGCTCCTCCCATTACTTTATGGCATGCAACCCTTCAATATCGTCGATACCCAGATACCGTTCACCGAGACAGCGTCGAAGTCACCGTATCGCCTAGGACCGCAGCATCGATTACTTTGGTACGCGTTAATAGAGCCATTCTACAACGCCGCTAAGTGGAAAAAAATTCAGGTAAGTGCATACTAAACTGAAATGCGTTAATTCATCAGGCATAAATTTTTCTCCTCTTTGTGCTGCGGGCATAAATCGGTAGCCACTGCGACAGCGATACGCCCGCCCGCTTATTCCCCCCCCCCCCCCCCGGGTCCTTCTTCCTCACCGATTTCGGAACTAGTTTTTGGCGCTCTGTCTCTGTCGCATGCCTACGGCTGGACGCATGAGTGCGAGAGAGACAGCGCCGGAATCGCCGCTCGGAATCAGCCTCCACGTCTCTCTGCCCATGGTTTCCCCTCCCTCCATGATTCCCCTTCCCTCCACGTTTCCCCCTCCCTACCTCCACCCCCTCTTTCTCCCATCTTCTTCCCCCTCCCCTCCCGTTTCTCGTCGACGATCCTCATTTCCATTTCAGTCGCCATGTGTGAAGGTAAGCAGATCAGCCCGATTTCAGCGTGTCTCATACCCCAGCCCTTTTCCCCTTTGAATTTGGAGTTATGACTGTCTTTGTATGTCATGATTATGTGACAATTCCTAAGTTCACCCAATACGCCCTTCCAATATAGGGGAACTGCCGAGCGAACGTGGTATCCCTCTCTCTC